AAACTGCTTCCGAAGAAGTGACCGAAATCCTTGTGGGCTGAATGCAAAATATACATTTCCTGTCAAATGTGGTTTAAAACGAAAATGTTCGAATAATTTGAGGCTGGCAGGCTTTTCAACTGGGTTATGCTAATCGATTGGACCGTGTGTGATGAGATGTGTGATACCATAAGCTTAACGTCTCAATCACATCTATATTTCACATCTAGGAAAAGTCTTGACGCGCGCATGATTCTTCAATTACTGCCTAAAGGTTTCGTGTTTTAAACAAATGACAAGGCGGAGTTAGTTCTTCATATTTTTGCACTGAATTTTGTTTGGAGACCAAATCTTACATTGCTGTTTCAAAACAAAAATAAAACGAGCGCTGATTGACAGGCCGCGCATGCCAATACGGTAGGATAAAAATGCTTAGGTTTTTTCATAGAGAAGCAGATTGCTAGCAAATACCCATTTAAGGTACCTGGACGTGCATTCCCGGAGGTGAATTCGTGGGGGAATTCCTCCGTTCCCACACGATTTATGGCAACAGTATAGCAATGATTGGCAATTGCAGCGTTACGAGCCTCAATACGCCACAGTGGTTCGCTATAAAAAAGCTAAGTTGATCTCCGCTTCTCCACTCTAAAACATACATCTCTAGAAAATCCGTAATACCTCAAGTCTCCGGTGGTGGCGGATGGATTGAAGATGATTTCTGCACCATTCAAGGCAAACATCATCCAATTCTGCGGGTGATGGCGCCCATAACAAATATTGATGGCGATCCTCCCTGAATAATTTGTACTCATATTTTTGGTTTGCATTAATGCAAACTGTTCACTTCAGTAAATGTCCATGCATTTATGGAATTTGTAACTCACCGAAAGCTGTTTGGAAAACTGGATGGCCGAGTGTTGACTCCATGTAATAGTTCGCCTATAAAAATTATATATGAGATTGATTGTCACGAAGTCGAACAGAATCTCATTTTTATATATTTGGTTTGCATATTTGCTAGAATGCATCTTTCAGGAGAAAAATTCTAAAATACATGGCCTTTCACAAAGTAATATATGAACAAAATTTGACTTACAAATTGATAAACTATCGTAGAGAAGCAACAAATAATGGCTTATTTTCACAGTATAGCTTATCTTTTGAAAATTTTTTGGACCAGTTCAATAAGGAAATTTCTTTAAATTTTCTTATTGAGTTGGCTGTGAGCATTCCCAGGTACATGCTTTATTTAAAGAGAAGAATAGGAAGTGCCGTACCTCATTGAAGTCTCCAACTCTGGGGATGTGGTTTTTGCGACTCTTGCCGATAACCTTTCCACTATTAGATATAACGACGGCTGCATTCCAAATCACATCATCCTTCATTTCATCTCTTTCGAGGATTGGCGCAACTATGACCATGTTGTATTTGGCCGCCAACTGCAAACAGTATCATTTGTCAATTCCTCTATGTCGCTTAACATGGCCTTTAGACCTAGATCTAGTCCGGAATATTAAAAATTCGTTTGTGATACGTCTTGAATGTTACTGCTAGCAAGCATGATTGTTATCTTTAATGATGAATAATATAACTGAGGAGGGCCAACAAGATCGAGACGGAAGCAACTATCATGAAGCTGGGAGGGATAAAGAGGTATGCCTTAAACACAGTACTTTATCTTGGATAGAATTAGTTTTCAAATTAGCATGGCCTCCTAGCATCTAGTTGATAGCCAAAAAGTCAGATGATTACCAGCGGATCAGATGACATGTCACCAAAACCTTCGCCTCCACCACTGAGTAAAGCATAAGCAGCAAAAACAAACGGAAATTTTCACACCCACATTAGACATGAATTTAATTGTGGGTCCATTCTCGACAGACTCAGCAAACTCAGTCCAGGGCAGTCTTTCGCGAGTGCAGAAGGCAAATGGCATCACTAGAATAAAAATTTAGACACGTACCATAATTACGACTAAAAAAGCACTTACTAAATGTTTCTTGCAAGCAAAGTATATTCGTTCCTGCTGCGGCAGCTGCGTCAATCAT